ATCCAGGAAAGTCTTAAAGACTTCATTCCCCTTTAACATATACTGGTTCCCTTTGAAAAATACTCTCTCAGCTGATGCCTGAAATTCCATTACCAAAGCTCCTGGTTGACTTAAGCCTCTTGAATCCATCCCAACCCAAACTCCTCTGAAACAAGCCAAGCTTTCAGCTAACAGTGAACCAAGCCCTTGGTGAATGACTATTTGGGGGAGGTTTTGGCAGGAGAATTAGAGGGGAAGCAGAGAGCAGAAGGCTTGTGAGAGCAAATGCGACACAGTTGGGGACCAGGAAACAGGCCCTTTTCATGTTTTTGCCCTGATTTTACAAATAATTGGCAACATAAACAAATGACACCAGAATATCAACATCACTGGTATCAGCAGCTGAGAATTAATGTTGTCCTCCCAAATGGTGGCTCCTGGTTACATATTTGCCCAAAAGAAAATCCCCAAAGGAAATGTGGGCACAGGAAGACAAAGAGGACAGGACTTATTTTATGGGCAGCATTTGGAGAAGGAAAGGAAAGGAAGCAACACTCAAGCGACTGGTTTATCATTTGATTGACTATTTTGTTAGTGGATTTATGCAGTTCTTTTAAGGCCTCTGGATTAACCCAATAATTCAAGGACTATTATTCTTCTTACTTTTAAAAAAACAAGGCAACTGAGGAGTTGGGACGCTTGCACAGGTTACACAGCTGGTTGGGAACTTTCCACATGAGCTGAAAGTTCCAATTCTCTCCCTGTCTTGCCTCACCAGAGTAGAAAACTGAAATTCTGCTGTTTTTCAAAAGGACACAGATGCCGTCTTCCATGGGCATCAGACACAGAGCTTCTCACTGATGTATTTATTGCTGGACTAGCCAAGGAGCAAATGTAATAGCAGTGAACAGGAGCTGTTATTCTGAGGAACCAGAAAACATGCTCCTGTTTGAAATTCAGCATAAGCATCGCACCACCAAATGAGACAGAAATAAATCTTTGTCGGGTCACAGCTTGGAGAAATCAGTTATGCAATTGATTGTTCAGTGTTTGGTTTGGGAATGAAAGTCTCCTGTGGAAAGTCAGGGCAGGTGCAAAAGCCATGAGGCATAGTTGCTAAGCGCTCAGGCTCTGGAATTGTAGACTTGGGCTTGCATGCTGCCTGTCCACTTAAGAGACTTGGCCCCTCTAAAACTGCTGAGTTTCCTCTCCAGTAAGCAGGGGGTGTGGGGGGGGGGTGATTAAATGAGATGGCCTGTTAAGTGCCTTAAGTACAGGAAGTGCTCAAAAACATCGTCTTTTATTTTGCCTTTTTTTTCCTGTCTCTCTTTGAAACCCACAATCCAGAATCCTATTTCACATGATATATTAACATAAAAAGAAAGGGGATATAAAAGCTGCTTCCACAAGCTTGTCTTTGTGCAAATATGTGGGCATCAGCATCTTGCTGGATTGTGTGTGATACACGTCAGGTATCCGGGGTGAAGCTCTGGAACATGAGGACAACGTGGCTTTGGCCACAGCCAAGAAGCCAAGTGAGGCCCTGTGGCTTTCACTGCTAGCGAGGCAATTGGAATTAACAAGGAAGAATGAGGACAGGTTTTACTTGGTATCTCTCTCTCCCTCGTTGCTTTTGTGTGGTTTCCTTGGAAGATTTACCCTGGCATTTTTTCAGAAATAGCACAGTTGTTTGGGATGATTATAGCCATCATCAATCCCCAGAGAGGAACTGTGTTTAACTCCCTGACCGGCTGCACCCCAGGCCCAGGATGGGGGATGCACAACCAGACTTTGTGTTGTTTACAACTATCAGATCTTGTGAGGTCTGAGAAGCAGCCTGGTGGCGGGGTGGCGGGTGAAGGGGGGGAGCGTTGGAGAGACTGACTGAGCAGGACAGACTGGGAGGGAGGAACAGAGCACTCATTTGGGAATGAGAGTGCATTTTGACAGCAGAACCTGAAATCCATTCCACCAGAAGAGCAAACCAGGTTGCAGGCTCACCTGGCAGCCTGTTGAGGCACAAATGTCTCTTAAAATCTGTGTTTGAAGTCAGCAAATATCAAGAGATCAAAGGAGGTCATCTGGGCTTAGAGGAGAAATCTTCCTTGGGAATCCTGAAGCCACAGTACAGGAGCCACCAGCCATGTATGGCTGCTGAGCACTTGAAATGCAGCAAGTCCAAATTAAGATGTGTGGTAAAATACAGGATTTCAAAGAGTACAGAAGTAATGTTCATTAATTTTTTATGTTGATTACATGTTGAAATTATAATATTTTAGATACATTTGGGTAAATAAAATATACCTTAAAAATTAATCTTTTTGTTTCTTTTTGCCTTTTTATTAGTGTGGCTATTAGAAAATTTTAAATTATGTATATGGATCACATTATGCTTTCAGGAGGTAGTGCTGCTTTAGAACTTCACAGAATTTTTATTCCTCTTCATGGTTCCAGTTAATATTTACCTCTACTTTATCCCTAATTATGATGATGCCAGGCTATTAACAACCAATACTTATCCAGGACTTTTCTACCCCAGGGCTTTTGCTCTTGCTGTGCACTCTACTTAGGATGCTCACTCCCCCAGACATTCTTGTGTTCTTTTTCAACTTTCCAATCTCTTCCCAAATGCCCTCTTTCCAGAGAGGCCTGCCTTGACCACAAATTGATCAATCAACCCATTTGATTCTCTTCATGGCATTTGTTTATATTGTCTGCTTTCCCAACGAGACTGTGACCTCCATGGGAAAGTCCACTGTGTTCCTCTCTCTATTACTTGCTTTCAGAACAGGGCCTACCAGCGCATAGCCTGCCCTCAGTAAATATTTCCTGAATGACTAAATGTATTAGCCTTAAATCTGATTGAGAGTGTTTAAATTGTGTTCTGCCAGGCACGCATCGTTCACATCATCCTAACTGAGCACTTGTTGTGGGCCAGCCACTGTGCCTTGGGGGTACGGTGACAGATGTCCTGGTCTCCACTCTCAGGGACTGCGGAACCGAGCGGGTCCCAAGCACAAACTCGTCGGCAGCCAGAGTTGCCATGTTACTGCCCTGAGCATTTGGTTGCATTTCACTCTGTGTGCACTCAAGGAAATAACAGAGGTCAAAAAACAAGGTAACCTCAAAGTTCAGACTCCTTGTGTACCCATAACGGCAGATGGTTGTCGAAAAAGCAGCAACCTTGTGCTTTTCTGGGTTTGAAAAACAGACGAACTGTTTCAAAGAACTATGATTATGGGCAGGATCAGGGTGTGTATTTCTAGCTGTGGAAGACTCTAAATGAGAAGATAGTTTGACTCTAAAGGACATATGTTTTCAGAGGTTTTCAAGGGAACCCTGACCTCTTAACGCATCACCAAATTACAAAAGCAAGTTGTAAACCACTGTGTAGAGCAGATGGGAAATTTTGTTTTTACATGTCCTATAAATTGTGTGTGGGAAAGACAAAGGCATTCCAAATGGTTAACCCTGGCTGCCTCGGGGTTGTAGAGAGGAGTGAAATAACAGGACACTGTAAGTATTTTCTTCACATACCGCCATACTGTTTTATTTGTTACTGTGAACATGGACAGGTCTTGTACTTTCAAATGAATAAAGTACTTTTTAGAAAGAAAATTTTAAAAAAATAAACACCACAAAGCTTCCCTTTGTAAAAGGGATAGGAGATACTTCCCTTTGGATGGTATAGGGGATCCTTCTCACATCCTGAGTTTTTGAATCTTAATTCTATGCCTCAGCTACTGAAGCAAAGGCCAGCAACCAGGTTGGTTATCAAAAAATAGGAAGTAAAGACTGAGCTCGCTTGTGGAGAAGTTGATGATGTCATGGCTCCCTGAATACCAGCTAAGAGCTCTCATCCATCACAGCTCTTGTAATTAGGACTCCTTAATCTCTTTCATTGGGGGGGTACTCTTTATTGTGGGCACCTATTATGAGCCAGGTCATTTGTCTACATATTGCCATTTTATTCTCCATCAACCCTTAGAAAGTAGGCATTATTGTCCTCACTTATCAGATGTGGAAATTGAAGTTCAGGGAGGTTAAATGAATTGGCTGATGTTAGACCTAGTTAGAGGCAGAAACCAACTTTGAAACTAGCTCTTTCCAACCTTTTGCCCAGTTCTCTACCATTTGCTACCTCCTTCTAAAAGATAAGGTGTCATTAAATGTTTTGCAACTGGTTCTATACCTGAATCAAACTCTATTCTCAATGGAAGCCTAATTTTAACATCTATAAAAGGCTTTTGCTCTCCAAAAGCTTTTCCCCAACTAGCCTTCCTTGGAAACTGATTTTCTACAAAAGAATCTGTCCCATTCGATAACAATCCTTTGGATCCACTCCCCAAGGACAAGGACCCTTAGAAATGGGTAACATATAACATCATTATAATCATGAAGACTATCATGTGATTAAGTTATCAAGGAAATAAATCTAACAAACTTCCAAGGGAATTTGACCTGGGCCAGTAAGAGCAGGGATATTTATAAAGCAGGGTCAGAAATGTCCTAAGGGGTGTCGCTGTGGGACTGTGAATAACTGTAAGGGACCCAGAAGAAACCAGGTGTAGAACAGAAAGGTGGCACAAAAAGTATACGTCACCATCCAGGTGATGAGCTGGATTGAGCTCAGTTGAGCCTGAGCTCAATTCCTGTGCTAATAAGGCCATGGACAGGCACACAGCAGAGGAAACTGGCACCTGTATGGCTGGTTTCCCATGGACTGCACCACCCAGCCCAGCTACAAGCTCCACAAATGCTGCTATTTGCACAAGGTCACTGGGGCACAAGGTGCTGTGGCTCCATGAGTGGAAAATGGTCACCCCTTCAAGAATACGATTCACAGGGCACGTTCTCCCAGGAATCTGCTCAGAATGTCTTTCTCAGGCCCTGAGGGCCAAGAAATAGCTTCTGGATATTTGGGGGGTTTGCTTTACAAAGCTAATGGATCTCTAGGAGCAACCTGGACAAAATATTGCCTTCTTTCTTCTTTAAATGGGATGTGTTTTTTCTCCCCACAGAAAAAGCGCACATTGAAAGGCTCCATTGAACTCTCCCGAATCAAATGTGTCGAGATTGTGAAAAGCGACATTAGCATCCCATGCCACTATAAATACCCATTTCAGGTAAGTCCATCAGGCCTGAGGGACTAGCTCCCGTTCGTTGGAGAATGGTTAAACTCCGCTGTTATTGTAAGAGAAGGTGGGAAAGAAATGACTCTGGTCTGAACTAAGTCCGAGAAAAGCTGCTGTGTTTTCCTACTCAGCGACGCATTCATTTATTCATTCATTCACTCAACAAAGATTAAGCACAAAATCTTGAAAAAAGTTCCTCAGTCCCCTTTTTCTCATGTCTTCCAAACTTCAACTAAAAGTCCTCATTACCCTGCTCCTGAGGGAGGAAAAAGCCCATCAAGTTCCCCAGGCTTTTTGTTCTTTTTAAGTGCAGTTTACTCATAATTTGGGGCAAATATTGCAGGCTTTGGTTATAAATTGCTTGGAGGCTTAGGGATAAAAAGACTCAGATTTTATCATCTGAGAGCTATCTGGAGCTGTGCTATCCAGTACAATAGCCCCAGCACATGTGTATGTTTAAATTTAAATATAAATTAAACAATATTAAAATTTCAGCTCCTGAGATACATTAAGCTACACTGAATGGGTGAACATTTCACATATTCAATAATCACACATACATTAGCACAGATTACAGAACATTTTGATCACTGCAGAAAGTTCTTTGGACAGAGCTAAGAGAGGGTATCTTAAGTCTTTACATCATGACATTGTCTAAAGCTTGTTACCACTTTTGGCATTTGTGGCTCTGAAGGAGTGGCTATTTCCTTGCACATCTAAGGTACCATTCTTGTTTGCCAATCTGGGGGTAAATATTCCATTTTTAATGTGGCATAGAAAAGGACTTTTTTCCTACTAGAAATGTGACCTCCCTGAGTTGAAACTTTTGGTCCTGAAAGTAGAGGAAATAGCATGTATTTCCCATCATTAAAATTCCAGTTACAAATGAGTGCATGAAAAAAAGCTGGTGTAATTCAAAGATCTGTAGTTTAGTTAACAGTATTGGATTGATGTCAGTTTCCTGGTTTTGAAAACATACTATGGTTATGTAAGATGGGGAAATGTGGGCGAAAAGAACACAGGAAAGCTGCACTATTTTGGGAACATCTTGGGTATCTTACATTATTTCAAAATGACAAGTTTTAAAAATCCCAGTTATGCATTTATTATCTAATGTCTTACTCTTTCAAATGCCAGAAATATTTTTTTTTCACTGAAACACTAATATGAGAAAAAAAATATGCTGTCTAGTGGAGGACTCTCCCTTTCTCTCCAGCTGTTTCAATTTTGCAATGGCTTGCTGGTGACAAGGAATCTAAGACAAGAGCCTAAGCTGTAGAGTTTCACCCTGTGCCTGTACAGCACCCAAACCTCTGGATGATGAAAGGACTGGTGTCCTTTCATCATCCAGATGTTTGCCTTTATAATGCCAAACACCTGATACCCCACCCCAGCCCACTAAACCAGAGGTGCCCGCTATCAGCCATCCTTCTCCGGGTGTATTGCTCACCTTGAACTCTGTGTGTGTCTCCAGGTCGTACATGACAACTACCTCCTGTATGTGTTTGCTCCAGACCGCGAAAGCCGGCAGCGCTGGGTGCTGGCCCTTAAGGAAGGTAATTAATCTCCTGTGTGACTGAGTCCCTGAGACCCCTTGATCTCCCAGTTAGGCTTGGGTTCCACAATAGAATAAATAGTAGCTGACAGTTAAACATTCTCTGACTTGGTATTGGTGGAAGGTCCAAAATTTTCACCCTGGGCCCAAAAGACAACAGCCAGTAGGATGCAGGGTCAACCAAACCCAGCCTACCACCCACTCTCATGAGGCTCTGAGCTAAGTGAGAATGGTTTATTTACTTTCAAATGGTTCCATTTTAAAGGGTTATATAAGTACCTACATAATATATAGATTTTGCCTGCTGGTGAACAAAACCTAAAATATTGACTATTTGGCCCTTCAAGGAAAAGTTTGCCAACTAATGCAACAAAGAGCAGGCCCCCAGGAGTTAGACAGCCTGGGTTTGAATCCTGGCTCTGCCCCTTACTAGCCATGTGTGCTTGGGCCACTTCATCCACTGTGCTGTTACAGAAAGGGAAGAGGAGGGAATAAGCCTAATAACAGCTGCCTTCAGCCCTGGTGGGAGCCTTGGGCCTACTGTGGCCCAAGTAAGTACCCCGTTAGCTAGCCTTAAGGTTTGCCGATCCTCAGTAAAGGTATTTCCAAAGGTTTGCCTTCCTGACAGCATAATTAGAGCCAGCACAGTGTTTGGCTGCATTAGATGTGAAGCCAGGCTGCTAAGGGGAAAATCGCAGCTCTACCAATCATTAGTGGGTGGCCTTGGGCAAGTTCCTTGACCTTTTGGTGTCTCAATTTCCTTATCTATAAATTCTGACTAGTAACAGTCAGTCACAGGGTTATTGTGAGGATGACGTGAGTTAGGACATGGGAGACACCTAGGACAATGCTCTAACAGTCAATCAGTGTTACTGTTAAATACCCTGACGCCCTGGGTTTGTAGGAGAAATTGGTTCAAATATTGCTGTATCTTTAAGTAGCTATGGGGACAAGGATAAGCAAGCCATATGAAATCTCAGAAGCCACCATGCCTCTATCTGAAAAATGATAATAAAAATACAAGACATATCTTCATTAGCAATCATTGTGTCTCAGATAAACCTTACTGGCTACAGTACAGCCACCACACGAAGCTACAGGTCATACCTTCTTCCAAGTTTGCTGTGAGTCTCAGGTGGGATATGACAGGAAAGAGCTGAGCTAACCGGAAAATGCTCTCGAGCGTCACAGTCACGGGCACAGAACTAACCTTGCCGCAGAAACTGATCAGTAGGCCCCAGCTCTGTCCACCGGCTGTTCTGCCTCTTTGAAGGGGGTTTACTCACAGGATGTTAAAGCTGGAGGAGTCAAGATGATCTCTCTAGTTCTCCAGTCTATGTACTTTCTTTTTCAGCTGGAGCACCTCTTTTCTTTTTTTTCCTACCAAAATTTTACTTTGAAGCCAGTTCTAGAAGGGATGAATGCAAAGTTGCTGCAGCTAAAGGCGGGAGAGGCAGAGAGGCAAGGGTCCCACCAATCCGGTCTTCCCATTGCCCCTAAGGCACTTTTGTGGGGCCCACCGCCCCGGGCTAACAATCTCACTTTACAGTGAGGAAACTGAGGCTCAGATGAGGGTGCTGCCCAACCTCAGGACACACAACTAACACAGCTCTGCTGATGCCTAAATCCAGCACATGCTCCTCCGTGAATGCATATGCCCAGGAAAAGGCCATTTTTCTGCCTATTCTGGGTACCATTCAGCTCACACACCAGCATCCAATCTCAAGGAGTTGTAAAGTTGGTGGCCCTTGACAGACTGACATGGAAATAACTCTTCTACTGGTGCCAATCTCTTTCAGAAACAAGGAATAATAACAGTTTAGTGTCCAAGTATCATCCTAATTTCTGGATGGATGGGAGGTGGAGGTGCTGTGCTCAGCTGGAGAAGCTCGCAGTGGGCTGTGCCCAGTATGATCCATCCAAGAATGGTAAGAGCTGGAAATTCCCTTTCTTCTTCTTTTTAAAATGACCTCCCTGCTAGTAGAAAGTAAAAGCTCTCAGCTTCCCGTCATCAGGGGTGTCAGTTATAAATTTCTGTATTTTCAGAATTTTCTGAGGCTCCTACCATGAGTCTGCTGATGTGTTTTCATCTCAAAGGTTATACGTTTATACTCAAAGTGGCATCAATGTCACCTGGGACCTAATTAGAAATACAAATTCTCTAGCCCTATCTCTCTCTGGTCTACTGGATCAGAATTTGTATTTCACATTTGTATGAAATACAATTTTGCATGTGCAGTAAGGAGTCAGAGGTACTGATATGACCTTCAAGTTAGGAGATTTAAATCTTAAATCTACTTAAATCTTAAGCTGTAGAAACAGCCTTAAGAGGTATGTAAATATTATTTACTTATTACAGTGGATCACACTTACACAAATTCAGCTCTATACACTTGGAGCAGGAAAAAGGTAAAACCAAAAACACTGCTTACTCTGCTCTGTGGCTTCTCCCCAGCTCCCCTTCAAACTTGTGACCTCCACAGTATCAGAGAACAAGAGGCCGCAACCTAAGTGCAAAGTAAAAACAAAAGATGTTGCTTCTTAGCCTTAAGGGCAATGGCCCAGGTCCTGGGAATTGGAGTGCAACTCCACACAAGATGTGTGTGGTGACATTGGAATGGAACTCCCAGGGAAGCGCAAGTCCAGTCTATGCACTTCTGCAAGCATTGTGCCCCCATCCCTCGCCATGCTCTGGGGTAGATGGTATGATGTTAAAGAAACACAAGACCTTGAGCAGTTCTGGGTCCTCTAGGTCACACCGCTAGGAAGTGCTCTGCAAAGCCATTGTTGAATAGAAATTATGGATCCTTTTTGAATTGTTTTGCTTCCATTCCCCTCTCCTCTCAATCTCTCTTACTCTACTTACCTTTTCTCAGCTGTCAATTTCTTTTTTGCACTAAAAACTAAGACCTCACATTGACAACCAAAGGCGGATGTGCTAACTGCAACCCATGGCTGGGTTTTCCGTGGCTTCCTGAGTCACAGCCCCTCTTAGTACCACTTTCAAAGCCACTACTTCTCACCCTCCTACCTTGGAGAAAAAGTTAAAGGTTACCAGTCCCTTGGCCCAGTAGGATAATATTTACCTAGTTTTAGAAATCAGTGACCCTCTGCATTAGCCCTGCGGACTATACTCAAGAAGGCTAGTATTTAACAAAGTGAAAAGGTGTATATGGGTGGAATCCGCCCCAATAACAGGATGACATGGGCTCACCTCACTGACAGAAAACCCTTTCAAAGCCAGAGATCTGGTCTCCAAGTTCCTGCCAGCATCTTGCTGTGGGTACCCTTGGATGAGTCACTTGAGTATTAGGGGCACAATGTCCTCATCTCTAAGTTGGTAGGGGAAATGTTAGGGGGCCTAAAATGAAATCATATCTGAGCCCCCTTCCAATTCTGAAATTCCTTGAGCCTGTGTTTCCACTTTGCAATTTTCACTCTGCAGGTTGCAGCTCTACGTCTTCCGGAAGCGTGATATTTCTCCCCACTGAGTGGTAGACACACAGTGGAGGTGTGAGGAGCATCTGAGTGACTACCCCAGATGATGCTCAGGAACGGCTGGTCATGCCAACCTCCCCCCGCCACACGAACCCGAGCCCTCACTACTGTACAGTCAGTTGTAGCAGTGAGGTTGTAGAACGCTCTGGGCACAGCTGTTAGCATTTACTGAGCTCTCAATAAGTGGTGATTGTATCTACCAGCCTTTCTTATTTGTGGACAGAAAAATCTGTGGCTGAGACACAGCCACACATGTGTGTGTGTCTGGAAGCAGCAGAAGCAGTTGACTAAAGATGAACTTGGCTCTACCCACCCCACAGTGACACTCATCCCTGCAACTAGAACTGGTCCTGATGTCACCACACGCCAACTTCACAGAGGAGAGCAAAGAAGGGAAGAGCAAGGCCAGAGGGAGAAGAGGGACAAGTAGCAGTATTTTCAGAGCTGGAAGGGGCCCAAGGCCACACAGCTCATGTGTGCTGGAGCTGGGATTAGAAAGCCAGTCTCCTGGCACTCCAAGCTGAGTGTAAATGGAAACTTACTACTATGTTCATTTTATTCTCTGTTAGTTGCGTATCCATCCTGCCTTTGCTTAAGGGCTTAGCACAGGAGCTGAGTTCTGGTGTCAATGTGTGACTCTCCTCTTACCGCACCCCTAAGGCGGGCTGTCCCCCTTCAAGTCAACCTCATGGGGAGGTGAGGTTCACTGTCTGCTTATGCAGCCCATTCCCTTCTCACCTCGAATTGTTAAACAAGCTTCTGGATGGGATGGAAGCCTATGCCCTGCCTGCCATACCACGCATGCCCCCAGGCACTCAGTTCGATCCATTGATTCCAGGCCTGACAGAGGAGAAATACTGAGAGACAGAGAGGAAGAGATGGTAGGAAAGAGAGAAAGGAATAGAGAGAAGGAAAAGGAGAGAAAGATGAGAGGAGAAAGGAATCGAGAGAGGAGAAACAGAGAGGAATACGTGGAAACACAAAGAGGCCCACAGAGAGCCAGAGAGCAGGGCACTGAGGGTGTGCCATTTGCAGGAGGCAGCAAAAACACATACTCAGGGGCATTCAGGTAACTAAAGTGGATTCCAGCCCTCTCAAAAAGCGGCACAATGACCTCTCACCTCACCCACTCCCTCCTCAAGCCCACAACAGCATCAGGAAACCAGTGAGTCACTGTCACCCTGAGTCACCAGTTCCCAGTCCTGCGTTTAGCAGGTGGCAGGTGCCTACATGGAAATCTCCAGGCCTGCAGGGAAGAACACGAGCCTAAGCCCTCTCCCCAAGACCTCTGGACTGGGCCTTTCCTGGAAGTGCAGAAACAAAGGGGTCAAGACTATTGACTCTAGAAGTTTCTGGTGTCTCCTAGAAAACGAAATTGGGACCCAACAGGCTAAAAGAGACAAAACACAGGCTCTGATGAGACCGATATCCGTTTCTCTGTCTCGTCATCTCCTCCTGGACCTTTTCTTCTGTTGTTCTCCCTGAGGCCCCTTTTCTCTGAAAAGCCCCCTGACTGCTCACCTCCGGTTGGGCACAGTCAGTTTCATGCTCATTTTCTTCTTCTGTTTTTCTCATTTCAGCTTCAAAGAAGCCTCTTCCTCCTACTCCTGAAGACAACAGGGTGAGAGCCTAACCTCGGGGTGCGGTGCGCCCCCAGCACTGCAGGCTGCTTGACTGGCATGCTCCCACTTGCTTTTTCCCCCATCTGCACAAATTTCTCAAACCCTGGGCAAATGCAGCAGACTATTGTCATTCCGCTGCACTAAACACATTGGGCTTCTCAGGCTTGAACTGTCTCCTGGGTCTGTCCCATAAAAAGGCCACTCAGCTGCTAAATCTTCACCTCATTTTATGCATTTATTGGTATCAAATTGTGTATTCAGCCACCTGACCACTTTGGGGTATAAAAACAGCTATCCATATAAAATGGTATTTTTATACCTACAACCACTTTGGAAGCATACATTTGATAATACTTTATATTTTTCAAAGCACTTCTATACTTTCACTATCTATTTTGAATATATATATTCAATACACACACACACACACACACACACATATATATACACACACACACATACACACACATCTATTCTGAAGGCTTCCCTTTCTCACTACCTGTTCTAGCCATTTCGGAGGGTTATAATTTTATCCTCATTTTAAAGCTTGGGAGATCAAGTCCCAGTTAAGGTGTTGAGGCTTTCCCAAGGCCATTCAACCACTTAGTAGCTGAGCTAGTAGGTTGCAAAGTTTCCAGTGTGGTGGCCTTTAACTCAAGTGGCAGTTCCCAAAGTGCGGTTCCTGGACCAGCAGCACCCACAGCCCCAGGGCACGTGTTAGAAATGCATTGCCAGTCCTCAGGTTCCACCCTGACCTACTGAATCCAAAACTCAGCTATTTTCCCTCCAGCCCACATGGGGCCATCTCATAAACTGGTAGCTTCCCCATTAGAGAAAGTCTAAATCCCTTAAAACCTCAAGCTGGGTTTTAGATGTCATCAGCTTACACCCTCACAGGAAACATATTAAACTATAGCAGAAAATGAGCTCTTTTCTCTTTTCTTTCACTGATGTTCCAAAGAATATTTGGCCGTCTTACCTGAAGATGTGGTTTGGAATCCCCCCTCCCTGGCTTGCACAGGGCCCCCCCCACCGGCCCACCTCAAGCCACACCATTGCACTTTAAGCCACTTGGCTTTCGTCTGATCTTCCCTGCCTGGCCATTGTCCCTAGACGCCACCGTTGGCTTCTCAGACTTTCTAGAAGAGCAGCATCCATAACATTTTAACACTCTGACCACAGGGCTTTGGGAATCATGGTCCTAGTTTCAACCAAACGTCTAAATCCATTGCAACATTTTTCTTAGTTTGAGCCACTTGAATTCATTTCTCTCTTCACCTTCATATTCCCTAATGGGTGTTGGCATCTTGAGTTAGCATCTAGAGAAGCTATAGTTATAATCAGGTCTCAGCTAACATGTGTGACGCTCGGGATGGAACAGGGTCAGCCGTCCAGAGGGTTGAGGGTTGCTATTTCTGGCCAGAATGGAGGCTATTCATGACTGGAGTCCCAGGCCCCTCTAGCCTGTGGGTGGAAACAGGTCGTGTTGTACACTGAAGCTCAAACATCAGCTCCTCTCAGCCCTTGCACATACCAGGAACGCAGCCCTTCCTTCGAGTTTCCTCCCTGTCAACACTAAGGGCTTCCTGAGGGGCCACTCGGGAATGTATCGCTGTGCCTTCTCCCTGGCTTCCTGCTTAGACACCCTATCCCTGCCACAGCCCCTCTGGGCCCTCTTTGGCCTGGTGGTGCTCTCCCAGCCAGGACCAGGTGAGCTCTTGGGAGCCGAGGCCATTCTGAGGCCTGCAGCAGACTAGTCAGGAGACAGGGCCCCTCATCCACTCAACTTACCTCAATTTGTCTCAGCTCATCTCCTGGGCCCCCAAGCAGCCCTTCTGGAACCCAGTGTCTCATTTTCCCAGTGTTGACCCTTCATGTTCTCACTCTAATCTAGTGGCTCCAGTCCTATCAGACCAAAATTCCTTTTTTATGACAAATATTTTATAAAGCCCCTTTTGTTATCCTAAAAGAAGTTCATAGATAATACAACTTATGAAAGCAGATACTTCTAGAAGAACCAATAAATGCTTGAAGTAACATTTAAAAAGGAAAGAAAATAATTTATACAAAATAATGTGTTTCTACATATAAATATGGAGTGTGACTACCCTAGTAGGGAAGACATAATGAAACAATCCATTGCATGCACCTGTAAGTCAAATCCCATTGAATTCGTCAGCTCAAATGCCACCAATGCAGAAATGTTGTATTAGTGGCTCAAACCAATGTTATCATCTGTGATATGATTTTCCAAAATGGCAAACAACTCTTGGTAGAGTTCTGAATTAAACAAATATTCAGCACCATAATCATAATCAAAGGAAAGGCAACTAGAGGAAGGCAAGGGGTCTCAGCAAACACCCCAGCAGATGGTAGGAACCAGTGTGTTGACCTGGCATAGATCCAGAAGTAAGTTACAGCTATGGACTCACTGACGTTGCTCCACAGCTGACCTTTCTTTATCATTGCTTGATTTTGTTGCCTCCCTCCTCCAGCGATCACTTCAGGAACCTGAAGAAACCCTGGTTATTGCCTTGTATGACTACCAAACAAATGATCCACAGGAACTCATGCTGCAACGCAATGAGGAGTACTACCTGCTGGACAGTTCTGAGATCCACTGGTGGAGAGTTCAAGACAGGAATGGGTAAGGCATCTTTGTACTTACTGTCCAAGCAGTTGAGGTGATGTTGGAACAAATAAAATACTGGGGTGATTTGGCCTACCTCTCTCAGCCTGACCACGGCACTGAGTTGGGAGAGGAGAGCAGAGGTGGAAGGAAAAAGGTTGAGGGGGCTCTTTCCACTTCTCAGAAATGGCTGGGAGGCCATCAGTTAACTATGCTTCCTCCCTACATCCCATCAAGCACTCCTGGCCCCCAAACTCATCTAAAAATCCCCTAGGGTTTTCCACTGACATCCACAGTTTGGGAGATTGGCAGCTTGTTTTATAAAGAAGCACTATTGTTCCTGCATATTTAAGGGAGGCTAAAGGTACATGCCATGGTGAAGTGTTTATTTTTGGCGGAAAGAAAAGGCTGGTAGAGATGGTGCACATAGGTGGTTACATTCAGAAGAACCAGGAAGAAAATACTAAAGATTTAATTACACCGACAATCTTTGAACTAACAATGATTGATGGAGAGAGTTAAGCTGTGCAAATACTGATTGCTTATGAAGGGACTTTTGAATGAAAAAATCCTATGATCCCTTCCCTGATTTGACATACAACAAAGTTACTGTTATTAACCTTCAGAATTCTCTTGGATGTAAATGATCTTTAATAAGGAAAAAGCTCTTGTTTTTTCCTTTAAATATATCAGAGGTATTTACCCATACCCTGGAATATTCTCCAGAATATGATTTCAATGACTACATATATCTAATGCAAAAATGTACCACAATTAAGCAAATTCCCTTTTTGGGTACTTAGGTTGTTTCCAATATTTTGCAAATATAAACAACATTACAATGAACATCTTTGTATCTTAATATTAATATTGAGAGCTTAAATTTTAAAATATGAGATTATTATTAATTTAAAGATATAAAAAAAGAAAACACTATCATTGCAACATTTGGATAGCCTATGTCAATGTTTTATTTTTTAAACAAAACAATAGAAATGTCCATGAAAAATAAGCTACCCTCCATTTGTCTCCATATCAGTTCCAAAAACTATCACTGTTAACACTTTCTTGTGTATCCTAGAGAAAAAGTTATATATAAACAAATGCATCCTTTTTTCATTTGCACTAAGGTGATCCATTCTGCTCTTCACTTTGCTTTTAACTTAATAATGTATCTTGGAGACTTTTCATAGTATCAGATACAAATCTATCTCATTTTAAAATAATTGCATAGTTTTGGAATGTATACTTACATTCCAAATATTTAAATAATCTTTAATGGTGGGGCATTTAGTTTCCAAGCTATTTGTTTTCTTGGTTATTTTAAACAAGGCTACGATGAAGATCATGTATTGTGCATACTTATGTATCTTGGCAATCTTGAAATATATGAATATATAATTTGCAGACACATCTATTTTTCACTATGGAACTTTCAGTCAGAGTATGTGATATTTAATTTTGATAGATAATTCCCTCAGAAAGGTTGCCAAATTTACATTCCCACCAACAGGGTACAGGAGTATCAACACTGGGTATCATTCAACTTAAATAAAATAATCCAATCTGATGAGTAAAAAAAAGAAGAACACAAATATCTTAGGGGTATAGCTTTGCTTTTTTTATATATACCAAAACTTTCAAGGCATCTTCTCTTTAAGTAGGCTTATCAACTCCACTGTAGAAGGAGTGAGGGAGGAAGTCTAAAATATGATTATATCAAGAGCTGTGGTCTGGGGGACAGTGTCACTTGCTAGCTGCAAATAGGCCCCAAAGCCCCTTATCCAGAACCTCCATCTTCATTTGACTTATGGAGGCAAATGTGGCTGGTCACATCCCCTTCTCTTTGCTGGGAGGCCATATCAGAAACAGGTTCGAGACTGCCTGGTTCCACAAACACCACAGGAACTCTCAGAAATTCATCCTTTCAATCAACTGACATTTATTTAGCAGATTTAATGGGCCAGGAAATTTCTTCTCCTAAATCTCACTTCCCCAAATGACAGTTTACCCTTTGTTCAGTGGCCTGTGGAAATGCTCACCTCTGCACTTCAAAGGCCATCGAAGAGGACACCCTCAAGGCTCATCAGTGGTTATGGGAATTTCCCCAGTTTGCTTTGTAATAGTGCAATACAGCGGAAAGTACACCAGATGGGGAGACAGAAGACTCGAGCTTTAGTATCAGCTGCTCTTATTGTATATGACTTTGGAAAAATTGCATAACCTCTGTACATCTATTCCTTTATCTGTAAAATGCAGATAATATTGTCTGCCTCACAGTATTGAGAAAAATCAGTAAGATGATGAAAGTGAAAGACCTTGTAAATTCCACTTCCACATAAAATGAAGGGAATGATTATTTATGTACATAATCCATCTTTGATTGGCATGTTAAAACAGTTATTCGATCTGAAAGCAAAAATAGTATTTGACTTAATAATATAGTTGTGATCATATGGTGTGGCAAAAACAGACATTAGGACGAATTCCAAAATAGAGATGTAAGAGATTTAACAAATTTCAGAACAAATTGACACCCATTAACTGGCACTGAGTGCCTTGAGCACTACATTAAGGATAATTCTGAAGCTGGAATTTCAATTTGCCAAAGAAAGCATGCCATGATTGACTGGCAATGTCAGCCATGGCACAAGATGTGAGATAGTCATCCCGAATTTGTCATCCCCCTATTTAATTTTTTTGTGCCTCAAAACAATTCTATGAAATATCTGACACATTCTCCATTAAACATAATGACTAGGTTGGAAAATGGGCTTCTTAGACAAAAATTAAAATACATTATGGAGTAAAGAGCAAGAAACTCCCAGGCATCTTTTTATGGATTGGCAGAGTCTGGAGGGATTTTATGTGTAATCTCATTTAGGTCCCTCCTGTAGGTACTGAACCAACGAGGCCCAGAGAGTGGAAGGGACCTGTCTCACCTTGTAATATTAAATGCAATAATGAATGTGAGGGCACTTTGAAAAGTACAAAGCTATGCACAGATGTGAACTCTTTTGATGTGCTGATTAGTCTCTATCCATATGTCTTCATTGGCACACAATTATTTACTCCTGCTTGAAAGAAACTCCCACCCCCAAAACCAGTGTGACTTTATCCTTTTTTCTTTGTGTTTCATTATTTATGCCCAAAGAAACTCAATTAACAAAAAATATTAGGGAGACCTTGAATTAAAAGCTTACATTGCCAACTAGCAGTATCTTTTGGGACCTATAGTTGGAAAGTAATTTATTATATTTTAATTATTTTGGTTTCTTGACTATAAAATGGTAGCAGTAAAGGGGAAAAAATACTGATTATCACATACCAAAAAATGTTTCCTTAGAGAAAATAGAGACTGAATGTCAATCTTTTATTTTTTTCCAACAGAGGAATTATCACAATGGGGAAGGTAGCATGCAGAGATTTTTAAGTAAAATAGCCTCTTCTTATTTATTATGGTTCATATATTAGTGGTAAAATCTATTGCCTTTAACAGCAGGTTATTGTTATTTTTAGCAACTCTTTTATTCTAAAACTTTAAATGTCTTATCACAAATGCCATATAATGTGAGACCCTCCCGTCTTTAAATGGCTTTTAGTAGATTAAACACATAAAATGAAGATGTAGAAAATTACTCCTATATTGATCTAAACACTAATTTCCCTTTTAACAGGCATGAAGGATATGTACCAAGCAGTTATCTGGTGGAGAAGTCTCCAAATAACCTGGAAACCTATGAGTAAGATGTTTTATTTGTTTTCAAATTATGGTATAATGGAGTCCTCCTTAGATTAGGAGGGACTTACTGGTTGATTACAAACATACCAACAATTTTCTCTGCTTAACCCATTTTCTTCTCACCCCTACACTGATCCTTCAGTCAAGAGTAGAGGAACACCTTAAATAGGAGAAGGGGGAGAGTATGGGTACCCATTTCACCTTTTATCAAAGGGATGACTCTCAGATGCCTGCACAGATTGTGGCAAAGGAAAATTTCTTCTGAGAACCCCAGGATTATTGGTCTTACATGAGAAAAGAAGAAAACACTAGGAATACGGACTCAAATGCTAACCACTTTAAAATACTGTTTAATGCAGTAGTACTGATACCAAAATAACAGACAAATTGGTATCAAATACCTGCTTAGCTTGTGTTATTTATTTCAAGGCGTCATTTAGAAGAAGAGCTTACATGAATAGAATTTTAATGAACTAGTTAATGTTATATTGCGATCCAGTTGTAGTAGCAGAGTGTACTCACCAAGTACACACATTTCCTAGCTCAGCTACTGAAAGCCAGAAACAGTAACACCACAGTAGCAATGTGAACACTTGGACCATCCTTTCTAAATAACACTTCCCACTGAAAAGAAGCAGACTTCTTGGAGAAATAGCTTGGGGATTCAGAGTTGGGGCAGGGAAAGAACGAGATGAACTTGGAACATCTTAACCCAAAAAGTAAACAAAAAATTTGCATCTTACCCCCAAAACTTTGTTAAATGATGTGGGCATGTCAAGTGGACACAGAAGTCAGCTTAAAAATGCTCCTTCTGGCCCAATCTGGAACAACTTGGGTACCAAAATAAATAATGATGGTAATGGACTACATTTATTTGAAAAAAATAAGAATCCATAATGAATAGTTTTATAGATAGGTAAATAAGTAAGTAAATCAATAAATAAATAAGAAGAGAAAGCTCTTTCTTACAGTAGAATGCCAGCTAATGAATGTAGAAGGAACAATAAAGTTTAAAACTCATCATTTTGTAACTCAAATTGTCAACTGGTTCAGGTAAGATTCATCATGAATGTCCCAAACAGAATGTGGAAGTTTGATATTTACACAGTCTCAAAGTATCTTCTCACAAACCACTTATTAACAGTAAAGTGGAAATACCTGGTAGGCCCCATCGTAACCAGGTGATAAAAGTTCACATCAACATTGGGGCAAATGGACATCATGTGTTTCCTGATGTGTGGCACTGTGGACACATCACTTCTGTGATATTCCTGCCTGAACTTGCATGACTTGAATGTGGTCATGAGGAAATAATAGAAAAATCTAAATTGAGGGATAGTCTACAAGAAAACTGGACTGTGCTCTTCAAAAATGTTTATGTCATGAAAGACACAAAAGGCTAAGAATTGATACACACTGCAGGAGACTAAAGAGATGTGGTGACTAAATACACAGGTAATTCTGGATTAGATCTTTGGCTATTAAAAAAAAAAGTTAATAAAACATTACTGGCACAACTGTTGAAATTAGAATGAAGTCTGAGATCAAATAATAATATTGTACCAATGTTGAATGTTCTGATATTGGTAATTGCAATATATAAACATACTATATATATATAGCATGTACATATATATACATATGTGTGTGTATTCTATTTCTTAGAAATACATATTGATGTACCTAGGAGTAAAAGTCTATACTCAAATGATTTGGAAAAAATATATCTATGCAGAGGGAATGGTAAAGCAAATGTATAAAATATCAGTAATTTGTTCATCTGGGTAAAGTGTATACAGAGTTCTTTTACAGGATTTTACAACTTTTCTGTACATTTGAAATTACTTAAAAATAGAAAATTTTAAAGTCCTCACCAATTATAAAAATGCCAGGGTTGAAGAATACTAGCTAATAAGGACTTTTATTAACTTACTTGGGTTATTGGTTCAAAAGCAGTCAAGTTATTTATTGCTGAAATTCTAATAGCTTCTGTAGTGAAGAACTGTCATTTTCTCAAGTCTCACAACCTGAAACTCATTTTGATTAAGTGTGTGTGAGTAGCCCCTCCCTCAGCTAACAGAACAGTCATTTATAAGAATACTTGAGCTGCAATAAAACATGTATGAATGTGCTTAAATAAAATTCTTTTACTTTTTATAATCAATGCCTTTTCAAGAAAAAAATTTATTTCAAATAATCACTAGGCTGGGAAGTTCTATTTTCGCTTTCAGAGTCTCTTATTTAAGACAGAGGGAGCAAATTCAGAATTCCAACAGAATATGAAACAACAGGGAATGGTGGAGCCTAGGGCAAATAAGAGCATATTCCCCCTCCTGAAGGTATTTTAAGTTTTTTTTGAAAAAAAGGTAAACACTACTCCATACAAACAAAAGAGCTTGTAAGCCTTTTTATTCTGTACACATTCAATTTATATTTTCCAGATTATGGAATTGCAGCTATAGAACAAAATGACTCACAAGCAAACATCCAGACATTTGTAGTATCTATCTAGGTACATGAAGACATCCAATATGATGACTTTTTATCCTTGAACTTTATATTGTCTAGTTGCAGGTGGTATTTGCATAAGAACTAAAAAATGTGGGTTGGTGAATCCACAGCCGTTGACTGGCTTTGGGGCTCCTGCCTTGGTCTGAGGGCATGATTTTGGGCAAGTTTCCTTACCAAGTCGGATCTCAGATCCCTTTTTCTTAAAACAAAGAGTCAGACAAGAAGAAGGAAGGCAACTTATAACACCCTTGCTCTCATTCCCTCTGCGTGCCTGAACTCATGGTAGACATCGCTCTTAGATGCCCACTGAGACCAGATGCCCAGCTCTAGGCAGCTATTACTAATTGATCAGAACTCGTCCAGGAGATGAAGCTACTTGCTAGCCCACAGCTAGATAAGTTCCAAGAGCCCGTTGAGGTATAAAGTGACCTTTCAGTTGCATGATGTTCAAAAAACTCAGATGAATCCACTAATTCATATTCTCATGGCTGCTGTCAAATAGCCAAACAAATTTTGATAAGTGGTGTTTCTTCCCCACCCAGAACTTCTCTCCTCCAGGGTTTATTAATTTCTCAAACTGATTGTTCACTGATGATAGTTCTATCTCCTCTTACCTAGTAAGTTATCAGGGAGGCCAAGATGGGGCTCAACTGTTAACAGCGTCCAAAAATTTCATCCCCAAAAATCACTCATATTCTTCTTTACCACTTTTTAATTGTTTTTCACCAGACACCAAAATTATAAAAATGGTGTAATTTGCAGATCATGAAAACCCAGTCTAAAAGAGAAAAATGCTACAATTCTTTTTAGAAGATGTTGCTAAACTTTCAAATTTATATTAAACTTTGTAGTTGCTATATCATCATCATGCTTAGAACCACCATGGATTTATGAAATAGAGAAGATAATTTTCTAAAATTTTATTATGGAAAAATCCCAACATGAACAAAAGCATGGAATAATGTAGTGAGTCTCTATGAAAAACCAGCTTCAACAGTTACCAATGCTTTACCAAATTCTGATTCATTTGTTTTCTTTCAATTCAACATTTCATTACCTAGAAATGGTTCATGCCTTTGCTTTTGAGCTTAAAAGCACTGGTAGAAACAGAATATGACCAAATCATTTTTAAATTTACTTTCTTAAGTAAGTAATCAAGATTTTTTTAAATGTCACTGATATATGACTTCTTCTTGATTTCAGGTGGTACAATAAGAGTATCAGCAGAGACAAAGCTGAAAAACTGCTTTTGGACACAGTAAGTCTCCTTAACCTGTCTTTTGACTTAAAATAAAATGAATTTTGCTTTTTTTCCAGCCATTCTGTAGTTTATACCAGTTGAGTGAGTTGATATACTGTATTAACAGTGGTTTTCATGTCTGGGGATTTGAAATACTCTGGAGATTTTTAGGACTAGCACACAACAGGATAAGAAACCTAGGGAAGGTTGAAGGCCTTGGTCTGGATACGCAGCCACCACCCCGGGTGCCGCGGACTTGCTGGCTGTGACGGCTGCCCCCATGGAGCCACAGAGCTGGTCTTCCTTGCCTTCTTCTCTGGGTAGATCAGGAGTGGCTGTGACTCAGATCTGCCTGTTTGGGCTGAGGGTCCAGAGGAAATACATCACTTGTGTTAATTTATTTTTCATGCAATGGTTCTTCTCAGGAGCCAAACAGTGTGAGTAGCAGGACTGATTTTACACCAGCATGTCATGTGTAAAGGAGAGAGGGATGGGAAGAGAAAAAACATGGTGCAGTGAGAAAAGTAGTGAGTCCTGGTGTCTACTATCACCAACTCAAGGTGTGACTCTGGTGGCATCTCTTCCTCCTTCTGGGCCTCAATTTCTCAATGACCACAAGATGAATGTTGAACTTAATCAGGGTGACAATTACCCAGCACTCCTACTGCCAACTGTCTTCTCTGGTCCAAGGCTGATGCAGTTGATCACAGTTCATGGCTTTGGGACTGTCTTGCCAATAGGTTTCAGCCCTGGGCAAGTTCACTATGGATTCAGTGAGATTTAAAAATGACAATGGAACGTTCTTGGAGTGAAAGGGTTTATACCCAACTTTATTCCCACAGTGGCAGGTCAATCACTAGAATCCCATCCACCCAGAGCGAGTCTGCAAGCAGCAAGCTGGTCTCTGCCTCTGTGCCTCTCTGCCCCCGGCATTCATCTCAGTCTCTGTCCTCGGCGCTGCCACCACTCTAGCCTCTGCTCTCCTGCAGCCATGCAGCAGTGGCCAGCTCACTGGGCAGAGCTCTTTATACAGAGTCAATAGCAACGTATTGCCCATATGTGTGTAGTGAGCTAGTTGACCCAGGCCAGGTGAGAATCCTGGCCACAGGAACCTTCACTTTATCCACAGGGACCCTAGTCCAGCAGTGCTCCAGGAAGCTGTCATCAACTGAGTGGCTTTCAAGGTGAACCCTCTATACGGGATCAGAAAGTCATCTGTTATTTTCTAAGATAGTGCCTCCCAAAATATCTGAGACGGTGGATCATGTTTTGTGATTGGTTTTTAATTTCCAATGTGTCACAGACTTACATTTGCAAAACACATAAAAATGAACTACTAGAAAAAATAAAGAAGTGAAGACATAAAAAACGTTATTTTTGGTTAGTATTAGATTCATTAGACATAAAATTACTCTGACTGCTATAAAAAGTTTCTAAATGCTTACTCTCAATTTCTCTTTTCATCTGGTGGTGAACCAGTAAGGAACAATTTGCCAACTGGCACCCATCTGCAAACCACACTTTGAGTAGCACTGGAAATTGCACATTTGTAGCTCTTACAGAGGGAATCAAATGCATGAAGGTATTGAAAGAAAGTTTTCCACACAGCAATCAATTAATTTAGCAGCATAAATGCCTAAAGCAGTGGTTCTCAGGCCTGTGGGCACATTAAAATCACCAGGGAAACATTTAAAAAAGTACCAATGCCCAGGCCCCACTCCCAGATTAATTAAATAAGAATCTCTAGATGGTAGGATCCAAGTATGGGTAACTTAGAGAAAAATCCTTCCAGGTGAGTCTAATATTCAGACTATGTTAATGACCTGTGCTCAATATTAGCTTTACCAGTGAGACGAGTAAGCAGTCGGTAAGAACTGATAGAGGCATTAGTCTCCCTGTGCCAAAATGTCAACTCTATCCCTGCCATTTCACCATATACCATTTTCCAATTATGATTTGAAGGTATTTTCTATCTTTAAGGTTCTTAAGCTGCAAATACCCCCTAGAAGGAATGAAGCCAGGGTGGCCAACTCATCCTGGTTTTCCTGGGATGGCGCAAATTTTAAAACTGAGAATCCTATGTCCCAAGAATACCATCCCCCAATCCCAGGCAAACTGGGACAGCCAATAACCGAAATCATTAGCTATATATTGTACACTGGTTAGGAGTGAACCTTAGAGAAGGGAACCTGGGAAGATGTCAGGAAGGGAATGAAAGGCTGTGGGGAAAGGTGAAGAGATGCTGAATATTGTCAACGAATTTAAAGGCAGATGTCGTTAATTAGTAATGTGCTAATTTACTTTTGTACAAGAGAAACTGATAACAGATTGACACATTCTATCAGAGGCAAAAATACAACTTCTGTAAGAAAAGGGGAAGGGAGAGGGAAAACCCCCAATCGTATTTGGGAGCTGTGAACATTGCTTCTTTTCTTGGGGGTAAGTTACTGATTGCCAGGCAGCTTGCAAAGAAGACAGGGTGGGAGGTTCTGACTTTAGGCAGCTTGTGCTCATCAAAGAGAGCAAGGTCAGTTGTTGATGAGCTTTCCAAAAGACTGTTGACCAGCGATGGATGAGCACCAAGCCAGCTGTATTACTACACAGGCTGCCTCCATCAGTCTCCATCTCAGCTATGCCTTGTCTTCACCATTTTTTATTAGGATTCCTCAGTGTAAACTCATATCTTACCATTTTGCTGAATTCAGAACTAAGTACTCAAGGGTGCTTGAAACAGGATCTCTGACCTCAATCAGTGTTAGACTCTATTGGGAAACAAGACAAACTCCCAACAGTTAGAGGATAATCTGAGATAAACTATGAGCATATGAGGCAGTCTTTCAGTGATCTGGGAGTTCAGAGATGAATCTAGAGTTAGAAGGATTTCATGGAGGAAGAGGAATTGAGCTGAGTGATTACCAGACTCTGGTTTCTCCTTGGTTCCACATTGACTTAGCACTTAATCGTTTCCTGTGATTCCCAAGAGACCACACATTAGAATCACTGGGAAACACATACTCTTTTAAAAATACCTATTCTCAGGTCCCACTCTAGAACTACAGAATCAGAATTAAGTAAGTTCCTGGGAATTTGTATTTTTTCAAGTCAAACACTTGTCATACATATTATGGGAAAAATGGAAGTTCCTATGGCCAGGATCCTCACCTGACCCTAAAAACTACATGATGATGTAATTGGCCTACTGCTAGGCTACTGCTTCCACGCCCTAGGCAATGAGCTGTTATGGACTGAGTCACTATATAAAGAGCTCCACCCAATGCTCTGGGTGCATGCAGAGACAAAGGAGGATTATAGACCTGTGGACTGTTAGATGCATATGTAATTCTAGTGCTCAACCTATCGCCGGGAGAATAAAGCTGGGTATAAACCCTTTTACCCCAAGAATGTTCCTCTGTCTCACTGAATCCATAGTGAGCTTGCCCGGGGCTGAAACCCTCAGGCAAGAAACATAGGCAGCCAGCTCAGCACCTAGTTTCCCACCACCTATGCATGCCTGATTGAGAGGAATGCTAAATTAATTTAAAAACTGAATTATACTAAGTTTAAACAAGTGCAGTTTTGTTATTTTCGATCACAGATTGTTTAATGAAGTGTTGCCCGTGGAGCGCATGGAACAGCCCACATTAATGACCAGCCTAAGATGTTTGCTGCTTCACAGCAGGTCTTTGGAGGCACTTGAATACATCTTGGGAGCTGGGGCAGTTGAGACATTCCTCCTTGCTGATAGTTTGAACTACTTTACCAAACTCTTTTTGCCTCCTTAGGTAATATAAGGGCAAACTTCAGTAGGTCCCTGTACTGTATGCTGTTTGAAGTAATAGCAGAATTATTTCATGGGTGTATTTAGAACCTCCTTTTCCAACAAGTATAGGACCCTTAAGAAATGGATTGATTCATTTTTATTAACTGAAATGGATTTATTTCTTTTTATTAACTAAAGCTCCCAATGTACTGCCCCATATGTATTTCTCCACTAGAATATAAACACTTTATCTTGTTTCTGCTGTGCCTAGGAACCTAGAACTGTATCTATGACAAAGTAGTTGCTCAAAAACTCTTTGTGGGATGAATATATCAAATGCTTAGTAAGTGTTTTTAAATTAACAACTCTACATAAAGAGAACCTGGCTGATCATGAGCATTACTGGGGGAGATTTTTTTTAAATGCAAATTCCAGGATTCCAGCCCTCACCAAACACAAACTCTGGAAGTGGCACCCGGATGATTCTGGGACTTACACAAGTTTGGGAACTGCAGAAAAGCATCTCCTAAGGTATCTTATCAATTCTTCAGACCATCTCTCCTAAGAAGCCTCTGACACTTTTCTTCTCCCCAGACATACACATGGTTTCCCCGCCTTTGAACCTTTATGGTGCAGTGGCATTACTTCTCTAGTAACACTGTTCGTACTCAGCCTTGGGCCTCAGCAGTTTCCTTTCTGTCTGAACCCAGTTAAGTAGAAGGTAAATTCCTTGAGAACAGTTAATCCATGCTTTATAGCATCACACACATTGGGTGACCTGAATTGCAGGCAGGAGCCTTACCTAAGGCACTGGTTTATCACACTTTGGTGATTCTAAGATATCATTCATTAGAGTTGCAATATTGACTTAATAACAGATTTGTTTCAAAAGAAGAACCACCTCCAGAGTGGCTATGTGGGAGAGACACTCTTAAAGTATAAGGCAGCACAACAAGGCTATGAGGTATCAGTTCATCTCTTCTGCAATAATCTACCCTGTGTGTCGAGATTATCTTCTGTAAGATCATCTTCACATAATACAGATAGAAGAAATATACTCCTAACATAGTCAACATGTGTCAGAAGAAGGCAGGCAACAGAATTAATGCTCCCAACAGGTGGTATACCATGGCATGTGATAAGAATGGCTAATGATAACCCTAATAGTCCTTATTCTGGTATTATAGTCCAGGAATTGTTCTATGTACTTTAATTCTCCAGACAATTTTATAATGATCATTTCACAGATGAGGAAACT